TAACCCACCCACCCACCCACTCACTCATCCACCCAGCCACCCACTCATCCATGCATCCATCCATGCATCCATCAGTCCATCCCCCTGTCTGTCTTTCTGTCCTTCCTTCCTCCCTCTTTTGGTCCATCCATTTGGTCTTACCCACTCACTTACTCATCTGTCCACCAACCCATCTATCCAATCCAGCCACTCACCCACCCATTATCTACCCATCCACTCTTCCAATCATCCACCCATCCACCCATCCACTCACCTACTAATCCAACCATCCACCTATACATGCAGCAGTCCGTCCATCCCTCTGTCCATCCATTGGCTTCAATTCACCCACTTACTCATTAATCCATCCATCAACCCATTTATTCAATCCACCAATCCATTCACTCCCCTCCATCCACCAGCCATCCATACATCCATCCATACATCCATCCATACATCCATCCATACATCCATCCATATATGCATGTAACCTCTCAAAATGATTCTTTTTTCTTTTTTTTTTCAGAACAAAACAGTGCCCTCACACAATACTAGTGCCTCTTCCATACTTCACTGCTCCATCTCGCCCTCCTCATACAGCCCCAGCACGCTTCAAGCAAAGCTACAATCGGCCACGAATCTACGCAACTCGTTCTTCACAACAAAAACAACGCTCTGGGGCTTTATCATCGCTGTCGGGCTGGTCCTCTCCCTCCGTGATCAACTTTAATGCCTATGATCTACCACAGATAAGCCGACCCGTTACAAGAGGTTGTGGAACAACAGGGTCGATCATTGGAGTGCAGAATAAATCACACACAGGGAAAGTAGCTATTGTTGCAGCTGTAGATACGGAGACTATACCTCCTTTCACTCCTCCTGCTACTGCTGCTAGTGAGTTTTATAAACAGCAATTAGGGATTACTAATGATGGAGCAGCTACTACAAATGAAGAAGGTTTTAGTCCTGAAGTTGATAGTATTAGCTCAGAAGACATTGGACATGATATCGTGAATAACAATGAATTGAAAAACGAACAGAAGACAAACCATAACGGTATAACTGGAAGCGATATTCATACAAGTGCTGAACAGGAGCAAAGAGATGAAGCTATCGAGGATTTATCCAACAGAATATCTGGAGTGAATGTAGCAGTTACCTTGAATGTCATTGATGAAACTGGAAGTGTTAATGATGTGGACATATATAACCCCGAAGATCGAGGTATTACTTCTTATTAAGATTCGATTATTGTCGATGTTGTTTTTTTGTTTTGATTTTTTTTTTTTTTTCGTTACTTGTCAAGAAAAAAATAAAATTTATTTAATATATTTTTAAATTTCAAAAGAGGGTCCTAATCCCATTTCCAAGTCCCCTTTTGACCAAATCCCATATTCCCAGCTTATGTTTTGTTCAAACTTTCTCTAGTGACGAAAACCTGAAGAAATATAGCGCTTTCAAATAAAGTTAGAAGAATGTGTATGATAAACACAACTAATGCTTAACTATAGCCTTGTTCTTTCTCAAACTTTATTTAGATTTACGGAATGAGCGAATAAAATTCCAATTCATAAAGTTTGAAAAACAATGGATCGCAATACAATTGAATTTCGCAATTGAATACTAAAAACGTTACACTTTTACTAATTTCCTCATACTGCGGGACTTACTGAGAAAATCTTTTTCTTCAATTCCATTTAGATAGACTTAGTTTTTACATTAGGTCGATAGACCGAATTTTAACAGAGTTTATAAATCTTCCAAGGTTGGAAATCTTCACATGAAGTGCCCGCGATTTTTTAAAATCACAACGATTTTTTAAAATCACCGAGATTTTTTAAAATCACACTATTCTCAATTGAAACTTTCTAATTATTTCAAATATTTCAATTTTGTTTGTTTCACAGATTTACAAAAACAGGAAGAAGTTAACAGACATATCCAGGTATTTACATGATGCCTCAATTTTAAAACTGATGGTCACAATCTTAAATTTCTAAGAATGCTAAAAATGACATCCATAACTAAGCCCTTGGAAATCCTTTAAAATCCTGAACGGATACAGTGTTATTTTCTGAGTTTTTACTTGTTTTGTTTCTGTTCAAACCTGTCGTAACTTGATACACTTTTATAAGTGATTTTTTTACTTTCTTTGAAGTCACTTTTAATGCTTCTACGACATGACCAATCCAGACGCGACATGTTTTATGCGCGCGAGTTATGCTATAATTTTGTCAATGAAGTCTTATTAAAGGAGTTTAGAAAACTTCACTAATTGGCGGAGCCCAAAAAAACCGCCGAGTCAAGACGTTTTGGAATCGAACCCACATAAACATGTCAATATATAGTCTAAAATTGAAATATCTACAAAGTCTTTATCGTCTTTCCAGTTTTCTTATCAAGATATGACTTTTTTTGGTTTTTTCCCCCTCTGCGAAACCTAATATTCGATCTGCGTATGAATTAGCTAGGAATCTTGATATTCTATGAAAAATTGGCGGTCAATTTATTTTGCAGTAAAATATGGCTTCTCTTTTAGAGCTTTCCATGTTTGCGTTTTCGCGCGTTTTTACCACAAAATGGTGAAATCTCACGAAATCTGATGGCTAAACGAACTCAGTGACCAACATTTTTATTAGCTCGTATTTCTAGTATGATGCACGTACTTTCATCATGCAAGATTGAAAAGGATCTGAAGATGGGATCTTTCGCCCATGAAGCTGTAACGTCCTTAAATGTTACTTTGCTGCAATGTTTTGGCTTCTTATTTATTTCTTACTATAGATTTTTGTTTCCTTTTAATCCAGGAAGCTCAAGAAAATTACCAGAAAAGGAAACAAGAAATAGAAACATTGTTAGATGAACACGTAAATCTTGTTAATGAAGTCAATAACTTGAGCCAAGAGCTGCAAGAATGAAAAACGCGTGGATGGAGATCAAGAATCATAAAAAATTATAGAAGAAAGAATGAAAATGCTGAGCTATTAACTATTATTGATGTCCGTCGTTAATATTTCATGAAGTCATGGAATTAAGACTTAGAAAACTGAGCCAAAATGAAGGCAAGTCTTTTTAGAACTTTTTGGGGTATGTTTTCCCATTCCGGACGATCGCTGTTGAAATTCATCAGTTGAGAAGATACTAACAGTAATTTAGATGTAACTCAAACAAATAATTTATCTTCTAAGGCAATAAAAACATTCATATACAGCCATACTGAAAACATTTATTCGCACAACCCTGCTGTGTTATATGAATAAAAAATCAGCAGTTTCAGAACTTCAAAGAATCTGTATAGGAAATCGCACTATCTTCTTGTACAATTCGGAATTGATAGATACTAGATCCCTCGTGATGTGAGGTGAGTTCTCAAATAGGACGTTTGCATGATGGCGTCACTGGCCTCTACTACCAGACTCCCTTGCACACTTTCTTTTGTTCAGTTTCTTTTGTTCTCATGAGGGAATACAAATTTAAATACTTATTGGACTCATCCTAATGTTCGTCCTAAAGGCTCGTAAGATTTTAAAGATTTTAAAAACATTGCTCGTACCTAACAATTCCGAATTGTACAAGAAGATCGTTTTGTTTATAATATAATAAGATTCATTATGTCAGAATTTATATGGCTGAGAAAACTCAAATGAAAATATTGACACGACAAATTTTGCAGACGTTTGTATCACTGCAGCTAACTGAATTGATCTTTGTGGGGTAACTAAAATAAAGGTGCTCTTTCTAGTGCTGGTATTGGTTTTTCACTCAGTTTAATTTTTACTCATTTTAAGCATTTCCGGCCGCCATTTTGGCAAAGGGTCCTGTTTGGACACCTCCGAGAGACTTCTGAGTAATTCTTCGTGAAGTTCGACATTATCACTTCCAACCTTTCGATAATATTAATTCTTAGCCGAACAAGCTCACTTCACTTGGATCACAAAACGGTCAATTTTACATTCGCAGAGATGGCGCATTTCTTTGTTTTGAGAAGATCCTGGGCAGCAGGAGACGATTAACAGGGTCAGCGGATTTACTATGTCCAACTCATTTTGATACATAGCAAGCGCGCATGCGTGTTACAAATTTACGCTCTCTCACATCACTGATACTATGATGGACTCGAAGAAAATACCCAAATAAGTTTGTTCGCACTACAGGGAATTAATTTCGCTTTAAACATTCCATGCAAATACTGCTGCCAAAAAAGGTAGAATCTTAAAATTGTGTCTAGAGCTGAATCGTAACCGTAGAAACATGAGTTACGCAAGTACCTTACAAGCTGCATGCAAGCAATGGGGTTCTTTCAGGTCCAAATTCATTATTATTTGAGTTTGACTTCCGCTAATAAATACTGTTTGGTGTCAGTTTTCTGTTCTGTTTCGTTTTCTGATCAAACCGTGACAGTTTTCTTCCGCTCTTCATTTCTTCTTTTATAGTCATCCATCTGATTTGCTCGGTCGTTCACAGTACCTCTTTACCTTGGGCTTAATATTTTCCCATKTCAGACCACGTGTCATTCCCTAAAGTATCATTTCTTTGTTTAACCGTTGCACATGATAAAACACACGAATATGGTAACAACTACGCAACACGGAATCTTATTCTCAAGAGAATGGTACGTGGTGTGAATAGAAAAATATCTTGACACTCGAAGTGAAGCCTGTTTGATGACAGTACGATCATTATTATTCAGCACAGCTACCGAGAGAGAATGCTTTGCAAATCAATCGTCTCATTTTTTAATATTTGACTGACAGCTAGGAGAGAGTGTTCATGGGATTCTGGTATTTGTGAGTATGACACCACCATATACCACAGAGTCATTAGTGTTTTTTAACTACTGTTACTGTATGTGTTTACCCTCTCGAAATCTAAAAGCCTATTATTATTATACCATCAGCTATTTTAAAAGCTTTTAAGCTTTTAAAAAAATCACTGACAATTTCAGATCTTTACTTACAAGACATGATATGTATATTTTTCGAAATATGTGGATATCATTATCATTTGTTATTATTATTATTATTATTATTATTATTATTATTATTATTATTATTATTATTAGCAATGAAGTAATAATAAAGCTCGTGATTATTATGAGTCATGAGTATTTGATCCCAACCTGGAAGTGACGTCATAAGATGTGACGTTGAGGCATGCGCAAAGGGAGGCGGAAGGGAGCGGCTTACTCGTTCAGTGATGACTTATATTAGTTTCCAAACGTAATAAGGGAAGTGTGGGATTGAAGAGCAAAAATCACCAAATTAACTCCATAATACCTCATAAAAACCCTCAGAGAGGCAAGACAAGGACCTAAACAGGCCTAACGATGTTTTCTTTCATGAGTAAGAGCGAAAGTGGCCGTAAAAACCCACAAGTTTTCGGGTCGGTGTTGGATGGCTTGAAAAAACTCTACATGAAAAATCTCAAACCTTTAGAAGATCAGTACTTGTTTAGCGACTTCCATTCACCTCCATTGACTGAACCAGACTTCCACGCTAAGCCTATGGTTCTCTTAGTAGGACAGTACTCTACAGGAAAGACCACATTCATTAAATATCTACTAGAACAAGATTTCCCTGGCATTAGAATTGGACCAGAGCCTACAACAGATAGCTTCATAGCTGTGATGCATGGAGACACGAGTCAAGTCATACCTGGGAATGCCCTTATAGTTGACCCAAAAAAGCAATTCCGCTCACTCAGCTCCTTCGGTAATGCTTTCTTGAATCGTTTCTGCTGCTCTGAGCTGCCAAATGCTGTATTAGAGAGTCTTACGATCGTAGACACCCCTGGAATCCTATCCGGTGAAAAGCAGAGTGTCGCACGAGGGTACGACTTCACCGGCGTCTTAAAATGGTTCGCAGAACGTTGCGATCGCATTATCTTACTCTTCGATGCTCATAAGCTTGATATTTCGGATGAATTCCAAAGAGGAATAGAGGTTCTTAAGAACTACGATGAAAAAATTCGCATCGTCTTGAACAAAGCAGACATGGTCACAACGCAGCAGTTGATGAGAGTCTATGGAGCCCTGATGTGGTCTTTGGGCAAAGTCATAAATACTCCAGAGGTTGCACGTGTATATATTGGGTCCTTCTGGAATCAGCCCCTACAGATTGACGACAATCGAAAATTATTCGAGATGGAGGCTACCGATTTGTTCAGAGATATGCAAGATTTGCCCAAGAATGCAGCTCTGAGGAAACTCAATGATTTCATCAAGAGAGCTCGCCTAGCAAAGGTAAGTTATAAGATTTGAAATCTTAAACAATAGTCTTTATTGTCTAGATATCGGTTTGTGGTTTGTTTTATTATTTTAAATGGTGTTACAGATGGTGATTTCCATGTAGATTATTTGATTAGTTGATTCATGCTAATAGACCCAAGTATCACATGTGGTTTTATCAAGACAAATTGCATTTTTCTTGACCTTTGACTGCACATTTTTATCTCATGCCATATACATTTTTATCCCACACTATTGGAAATACAGCTAATCTAAAAAATCTAAAAATCTACAAAGCTTTTCGCTGTTGTATCACAGCGTGGGACAATCACAACAGAGCTAGCCTCCAAACTAAGTGAAAGCCCAGAGATCGAATTAGAATTTAGAAGTTGATTTTTGAGGAGGGAGGAAAGCCGGAGAACTCGGAAAATCCTCAAAGCACAGGAGAAAACCAATAAACAACTCTACTCACATACAACATCGAGATCGCCAGGACTCTAACTCAGGCCGCATTGGTGAGAGGCAGTGCATTAGCGGTGCATGCCACCGGTGCTTCCCTCAATGAGAATGCAGGCAAGCTGTTGTATATTGGAAAGGCCATAGCCACCACTTGGACAGGGGTCCAGTTTTTAAAAAGGTGGTTTTGTTTATTTACTTTTGTAATGAATATTGTTTATTTGTATGAGGGATAAAAATGATTCTGAAGGTAAAAAGTTATGTGGTTAAGACTAGAACAACCATAGCCCATTCTCGTACCCAAAGCCTACTCATCTTTCTAACGAAAAATTGAAGGCTCTGGTAATTTGATTGGTTTAAATTTTTTACATTATCATCTCGTTTGCTGATTTTAAAGTCAACGGTAGAAATTGGAATACTTTTCCGTACACATCGGAGGGTCTCGCTAAATTGCTCATTTTTTCAGAATGTGAATCACAGACGAGAGTGACCATAGCCCCGATTAGCCAGCATTACCCTTTTTTCTTCCATCAGCCATTGCCACCTTGACATCATGGAATGTCCCACTTGTATTTGTATTTTATCAGTAAACACTCTCGTCTAAAGGCTTATATGCTAGACAGTACAAGTGAGTGACTTGTGTGGTGTTCATGGTGTGCCATTCAAAATCATTGTATAAAAAAATCTTGGGAGCTGATATTCTTTAGAATTTGAATTAAGCAAAAAGGTGGTAAAGGTTTTGATGCATGTGCCCTAAATGCCCTATGAGTGATGTGAATGCAATCAGCAAAAGGTCACGACAATATGGAATTTTCCCAAACTTTTTTCAAGATCGGTAAAAAAACATGTGGCATTCAGCATGCGACATGCAACAGAATTCACAAACCTTTTTTGAAATAGCTGTATAGAGTTTATAATAAGTTGTGTTGAATTTAATTATTCATGATTTTTTCCTCTCGTTTAGGTACATGCCTATATTATTTCTGAGCTAAAGAATCAAATGCCATCTATGTTTGGCAAGGAGAAAAAGAAAGAACAGCTCATCAAGAACCTGATAGATATCTACAGTAAAATCCAAGCAGAACACAACATCTCTCCGGGAGACTTCCCATCACTCTCCAAGTTTAAAGATCAACTTCAGCACCATGATTTTTCAAAGTTCAGTGGGATGCGCACCAAACTGATTCAAAATCTGGACAGCATGCTTGCTAACGACATCCCAAGATTAATGCAAATGATCCCCCAGGAGCAGCATGATGACGCTGACAAACCTCCTGTTACAGGTGGCGCCTTTACCATCAGACATTCAACAAATAACCCATTCTCTCAAGGAGCTTGTGAGGGAGTTGCATTGGGTGCAGGAAGTAATGAATGGATTGTAAGAGATTTCCAACCTGTCTATGACAAGATTTTCGAGTCTTTAAATCCAGCAGATGGGAAAGTTTCTGGTGCCAAGGCGAAGAAAGAAATGGTCAAATCCAAACTACCAAATACTGCTTTGGGTCGCATTTGGAAGCTTTCTGATGTTGACCGCGATGGATGCCTAGATAGAGATGAATTTGCTCTCGCAATGTACCTGATCAAAATCAAACTAGAAGATAATGATATTCCAGAAGAACTACCCAACCACTTGATACCACCATCTAAAAGGCAAAACAGTCGGGCTGATCCAATTGAGTATGACTAAGCTTTTTTAGGGAATTCTTAAAAACTGTATGTTGAACGTTTACAGTGTGAACACAATAACCAGGACCACTTTTACAATGCTAGCCAATCACAACATAGAACGAAAACAAAGCAATCAAACTGAACCAATCAGAAGCAAGCATCTATGCCTTGATATCTGAGAAATAACATTAAGATATTAACAACAACTTTGGGAATGAACATGAATGAAAGATTGTGATTGGCTGAGGTTAAGATGCGAAATACCCAAATTATTTTTTTGTGCAATGCGTTTCCAGCTTGTTCTACTTTAAAACAATTGGTTGATAAGCACTTAATACCTGTTAGTTATGATACTGATTTTGCCCTCTTTTCTTCTGATTGGCTGAAGTTTTCACTATACAAAGTGATTGACTTACTTTGTAAATGTAGTCCTGGTTAGTGAGTGGTCAATGCTGTAAGATACTTGTGTATATTATTTTATTGAATTTAAGTGATTAGTTCGAATAAGTAAGAATATTCTATACATAACTTCTTAGTTGAGTTTGGCAGGTTGACAGTTTTAATTATAATAATTATGATGATGATGACAGGGCAGAAAAACGGGTTCTACTTTCTACGTTTATGCGTTAATAAGCTTTATATTTAATAAACAGGCTCTTTTGGGGCTGATTAACAAAATACCAAAATTTGGAGAAATTTAAGGAATGCGTATTTGAGATATAACGCCCTGAACGTTGGGAGAGAGGATGTTTTAATCAGCACAAAAACTAACATTTTCGCTAATACCTCGAAGTAGAATTGCTCGAGGTTAGCAGAATTTTGTGTAAAGTTTAAAAAACAAGAAACATGAATGAAACACTAAGCTTTTTTTAGCATGAATTTTTTTCTTTATCTCTCATTCATGCTAAAAAAAGTTTAGTGTTTCATTCATGTCTCTTGTTTTTTAAACTTTACACAAAATTCTGCTAACCTCGAGCAATTCTACTTCGAGGTATTAGCGAAAATGATAAAGAAAAAAATTGCGAAAGTAGCAGCCTTGTCGTTTTTCTTCTCTGTCTATGATGATAGTGATAATAATGCATTTACTGCAATTTTGACAGTGATTTTATCATCTACTTCAAACTGTTTCCAAGACAACCAACATCATTACCTGTTGGAATGCTTGGCAGTGATTGTCTAAATTTGTTTTTCTATGGCACATACAATATCAGCCAATCAGAATTACCTTTCTCCTCAGTGGTTGTCTTGGAAACATGGGATGTTTAAACTAACTACGTATGACAAGCTCATCTGAGATATATAGTATTCACAAGTACAATGCTTACATCTTACGTCGAACATAAGGGCTTAAAATAACTGCTGGTCATTAGAGAATGTCTGGCGGCTAGAATTGAAACTTGTCCCGTCAAATCTATAACCAAGCTATAGCTAATTTGGCTGGTGATAATAACTGGTGACTGGCTGGCTTTTATTTCAAGCCTTGAACAAGGTAATATAATTTATCTGGATTTGCTATAAAGGTCTGGTCATAAATTAGCACTATGGGGTATAGAAGATGACAGTATCTGATGTGAAATAGAAGCTTTGTAGCAAACGGCTTCAACTTGTGCTTGATAGACTCTAGTGTTTATCCATGCCTTAATAGATGCATACTTAGTGTCAACTATAAAGATTATTGCATGTTTAGATGGTTACATGGTTAGACCTTGAACTCTCTATTAACTAGTCCTTTATACTTTTTGATTATTCCTCATTGAGAAAAATTGCATGTTTAGATGGTTACATGGTTAGACCTTGAACTCTCTATTAAAGTGTATATGACACGAAAAAATTTTAATGTTAAGAATGTGTAGTTTATTGGCATTAATAAGAATATCATGGTTAAATTTGTTCCAAAAACGCATTTCTCTAGAAATTCAAAAAATTTTAGCACGAGTTGTGACGTCATTTTGTTTACAAGTCTCCAGATTTAGTTGCAAATACATGAAATATGTTTGAATATAGAATCTTAATTTCAAGTGGTACACTTTTCAATTTCCCAACATTGGAAGAGTACTACGTAAGCTATCAAATGAAGCTTACTAAAATATGTCTTTTGTTGTTAATTTATATGAATTACAATTTATATTTAGTACATTACTACTGAATCTAGAGTACGTGTCAACAAAATGACGTCACAAATTGGGATTAACTTTCGCAAATATCTCAAGAAATAAGCTTTTGAAACAAATTTTGTTACGATATATTTATTATTA